GTCTATGCAGCTGACCAATTCTATCCTGAACTGTATTATTTTAAAGCCAAACATCTGGCTAGATTATTTCAAATGCATTTGTTTAAAAGGAAAAATCAGTCACATCTGCCTTAAAATGTATTACAAAATGTAATGAAGATGAAAATCATATGTGGTCTTAACATGTCAAACAGAGTTCCCTTTGTGTTGCTCTAAAATGTAGGTCATTAATAAAGGCATCATTTTCATATTTTATTTCTTAAAAGCATCCTATAAGAATATGATTGCACATTTATCAGTAAATAAGAAAAATATTCTTTATATAGGAATTTTACAAGTTTTGATAAAGATCACAGTGCATTTCAAAACTGTTTCGTGCAACAAACAGATTATTTAACTACAGACATTCATTTGGATTTCAAAATCTCTTTTTGTCCTGTTCAGAATGATTTAAAGTAATAGTTTCACCATTATCAAGGAGGAAAGAAAAAAAAAAAAGAAAACGTAGGTGTTTCTCGTTCTAATACTGTGTTGAGAAGAGCTGTTGTTCTTGGAACTATAAGCATAATGGTTGCCATCAACAATAATGCTCACAGCTGAACGCTTTCCTGTGAAGGCTGATGGAATAATTCCTGGTATTTTCCTGTACATCACTCTATAATCTCCTTTTGAATAATGGAAACACCTCCTTTGATTTCAATGAGTTTTGGATCAGGGTCTCATTCTTCTGTGCTATTGTTCTGCACAGATGTTAAAACATCCCTCAAGAGAGTCTGCTTTTAGGAAGATGAGAGTCCAAATCTTGACAAACCTTTACTCAGGCAAAACTTCTATTGAAATCAAGATCTCTTTTTGTGGAATAGATATCAGGAGTTCTTTTACATATTCTAGGAGTTTCATTCATTCTGCTTTACAAATTATCCTTCAGCTGAGCCTGTACTTTATTTTCCAAATCACATTCAAACAATATTTGAATTAAATCCACTATTTACAACAATGACTAAAAAGAATACTGTATCCTTCTCTTTCTTCCTTGAAGAGAGACATTGGTATGCCCCTAAGAGAATTATCAAGGAGATGATTAAAATTGAAATGGTTAAAATAACAGCAAAGCACATTTCAGGGATACCTCACTATCCTGCTGTATGTACAAATGACCAGGCTACAAGTTTATAATTGCACAGCAGTTATTAACCAGGCAGTCACTGAATGATTATCAGATTACATTCGGGTTGCAAGCTAAGAGGATATAAATGCTTAATTATGAGTTACAGAATAACATTTGGGGCTAAATCATGGCTTTGTACACTACGGAGCGCTGGGTGGGGGAAAGAGGAGGGGACACAGCTTCTTACAGGCCTCAGTATTTTGATGGCGAAACTCACCAAGTCACAAAGTTCGTGCCAGAGGGGAAGGAGAGCAGCAGACAGCAAAGGACCCCTTCTGCTACAGGGAAAGGGAAACCTTGCTCTTTCTGCTGCATTTCTTAGGGTCAGGATTTTGTCTCGGTCCTGCCAGATTTTTTCTGAGCCTGCAGAGGTTCTCATTTGGACTTCCCATGACTCCTGCCTCCCATGACTCCAGAGAAGAGACTGTACTCAGAAGGACCATGGGCATGGTGTGCTCTGACTGTCCCCCAGCACGCTCCACGCGAGTGCAGGCAGGCTGCCAGGGAGTCCACGCACAGGCTGTCCGAGAGCCCTGGCTCTACGTGGGCATCTCTTGGCAGGATCAGGCAGGCAGCTCCATCA